ATATTGGTTATGATCATCATTGGTATCTACTTTGAAGGCATCTTGAGTAAAACTGCTTCATATTTAACTAAGCATATACAAAACGCTTGAACCGGAAGCGACGAGACCCGGTTAACAGAATACGGAAGTCTGTTGCGCATAACCCCTATTCTCACTTACATGCTGTGTTGCTAATAAACACGATATAATTTCAGTTGTGTTGCTTTTAAATGAAAATAAATATGACGAACAAGACACTCAAAGTGCTTGCTATATAATTCCATACGAAAGGTGTATTTATCATCCATTTTTACTTTAATACAAACATGTATTTTAGATTTTTATAGTTTTTTGGCACACGTCAGCATGACATCAGAGCAAGTCGGACGTAACCGTCACCGGTGATCGGTTCTGGGCAGATTTTGCTCATCTCAAACAAGCCTGTTGTGTCCCCTCGCTTCGGTCTCTGGACACATCTGAGCACATCTGATTGGTCGAGAGGGCAAACACCCCCAAACCATGTGTATTACGTCATAAGAACGCGCCGCCCTGCTCTCGGCCAGCTGGGTTAAGTCTAGAAGGTATACAGCAAAAACTACTGGGCATGTGCACATCAATATAGCGTAATTGTTCTTACACTGTGCAACAATAATTACTATTTTTGAATTATTGTAAGGGGTAGGTTTAGGGTTGGGGTAGGTGTAGACGTTAATAAAACACAATCTAATAGGTTGAAAAATTAATTTATAGTTGGCTTCCGGGTTTTGCTGTATCCCTTCTAGCCACAACCAGGCAGCTGCGGTTATCATGGCGGCTTACAGAGGCGCTGCAGGTTTTCAAAGAGTTTTGCTTGCTGTTAAGGTGAGCGTTTGATGTTTTAAGCCGCTGCTTGCAGGAAAACAATTCATATAACGAATCTGCTGATTTGTCAGAATTGTGTACAAAGCATTGCTTTGTTATCGGACTAAGCGCTCTGACTTGTCTTATAAGATCCGCAAGAATGTTCACTTGACTTGTCACGACACACGGACAGTTTGATTGATTCGTGACTGTCAAGTGTTATTTATGAAACATCACTTGCTCCTTATAAGTTTATGGTGTGTCCTTCATTGTTATCGTTGAAGAAATCACGACCAGATGTCTTTATCATTGATGACTGTATGAACTCATGTCAATGTCAAAGTGTTTAGCTGATGCAGCTGTGCTGAACGTATTTAGAAGAATCAGAATCAGAATCAGAATGAGCTTTATTGCCAGGTATGTTTACACATACGAGGAATTTTATTTAAAGACGTTTTGTCTGTGCAGCGAATATGTATTGAATATTTAATTAAAAGATTCCTAATAGCAACAACCTTGAAAGCAATTTATATTTTTGATTGGATCTAGTTTCCACTTTTATCAATGACTCTCAGTCAGTCAGATTGTTTTTGCTGATTCAAACTGTAAATCACAAAGCTTCTTTGTCCATTTTGAGCCGTTATAAGCCATGTTATAATAGTAGGTTTCATTCAGACATATGAATGAAACACAAATGCCATTGTTGTTCAGAAAAATATTTAGACAGTTTTATTACTGACTTGATATATATATTTAAAGAAAACCTGTGTTGATGGTGGTGTCTTTCATGTTTCATTATTGTAACTGAACATAATGCTAGTGGTCCTAAAACACTGTCACTTGTTTTGAATGAAGTTATAAACCAGAGGTACCCAAACATTTTACTATGAAGGGTCAAAAGATTAAAGGCTGTGGGCTGAAAGTAAATTCCCCATTATATCCATTTATATCATAGTAAAATATAAAATGTATAATTTTTGTAATATCAAATTCACTTATATTTTCTACATTCCAATGCAAAAGATAGATAGAGAATAAATAAAAATAAACAAATAAATACATAAATCCCAAAACGATTAATTAGACATGAAGAAATGCTTCATTGGGATGTTTCTCTAATGGCAAAGATCATCCAAGTGTCACCTTTGGTCTGCTGGTCCTGGTTTGGGCACCTCTGTTACAAACAGTTTCATTCAGTCAGTGGTGGTGACAGCATGGTCTCTCTGTGTTTTAGCATGTCTGTTTTAGCAAGCAGAGGTGCGGTGTTATAATCTGCCGGTACTCTACAGTATATGACCCAAATGAGAAGGTAAGTCTGATTATAAGAGATTTTTCACTTTTCTTTACTTGTGCATTCTTGTTTCCTTTCCTACATCTTAGTGCATGAACACTGTACTGTGGTTCTATGCAATTGTTGTCTGTCGGATTGTATGATAGGATCCAAGTGAGATCTTGGGTAAGAAAAAAACAAACAAAAACATAGCACTTTGTGCAGTATCAACTGTCTTTTGTGTCAGTTGATGTCCTTTGTGATGAATGAGGAAACCGTTGATTTCTATACATAGATGGCATATTAGCTGTGATTAAAGCTCTGTGAACACTCCAGAGCCACTTGACTGCATCTGCAACCTAAATGTACACTATTGGTCAAAAGATTTTTGCAATGTTTTTAAATAAAGTCTCTTTTGCGCACTATAGCTGCATTTATTTGATCAAAACTACAATAAAAACAGTAATATTGTGAAATATTATTTCATTTTCTACAGCCATTACTCCAGTATTGTCACATGATCCTTCAAAATCATTGTAGTACACTTGATTGTTTTTGCATATCATTGCTCTCTTGTTGATTTTGATTGCTTCCATTGTCCTCATTTGTAAGTCGCTTTGGATAAAAGCGTCTGCTAAATGACTAAATGTAAATGATTTGCTGTTTACGAAACATTTCTTTTTATTATAAGTGTTGAAAAAACAGTTTTCGAAAGTCTGGGGTCAGTAAGATAAAAAAAGAAATTAATACTTTTCCCCCAGCAAGAATGCACTAAATTCTAATCAGAAATAATGCATTACTTTTAAAAGTAACTTTCCCCAACACTGGTGGCAGACAACATTAGCAAAGCCTCATGCTTTGATCTTTAAGGCACACTAACATCCACCTTAACAGTCAGAATCATCTAGATCTCCCTCGTTTTAAACTTGTATATGTTTATAGCACTTCATGGAATAGATAACAGTAGTTTAGTATATAAGTGGTTTTTGTAACTGTTGTACCTGATACGGTTTAATTGTGATCATCCAGTTTTATATTCAGTTCTGCACTTAGAACTTGATCTTAAAGGTCTTTATCTCTCTTCTTGTCATCTAAAAAGCAGTGTGTGTTGAACAGCTTTCACTTACAGCTAAATGAGTTGGGCTTTAGTCAGTGTTAGAGACACACACACTGTGCACCAATCAAATGTGTTGACAAAACAAATGTCTTAATCGCCCTGTTCCCTTTTCCTTTCCACAGACCTTTGATAAAATCCTCATTGCAAACAGAGGCGAGATCGCCTGCAGGGTGAGTGAGTGAGTGTGTGTGTTCTTCACCAGGAACGTTCATGTGTTTAAGGCAAAACATTAGATTTGTCTTAAGGCCATTTTCATTTTAAATCAGGGTGAAGTCCTAGATGTATGATCTTTACATGAAGTTCCATAATATCTTTTACCTTCAGTACATTTTTACTACTATGAAATGAAAAACGTTAATGTTAATTCTTTGTTTCCACTCATAGGTGATTAAAACATGTAAGAAGATGGGCATCAAGACAGTCGCAGTTCACAGTGATGTGGACTCCAGTGCGGTGAGAGAAATGAATATTCAGATGTACCCTAAAAAAGGACAAAAACATTGAGGTTCAAAAGTCTGAAAGCACATTGATTCAAAAACGTATTACTTATGACGTTGCTAAAAAGAACATTATATTGTGTATTTGGTGTAATGCAATATGTTTATGCAGTTTAAAGTTAAAAAAACACATTATTTTCCATATAATGTACATTATTGTTTCTCCTCTATGCCCCGCCTTTCTGAAACGTGCCGATTTTTACAAAGCTCATCGTTCTGAAAAGCGAGGTGTGCTCTGATTGGCCGGCTATCTAGTGCGTTGTGATTGACCGAATACCTCAAGCGTGTGACGGAAATGTTATGCCCCTCACCATACTGTGATGCCGTCTCCCAGCAGGACGAGTCCAGCTGCTCTGCTCGTGCACATCCCATCATCGGTTTTCTTTTAGCAGTTCAGTCAATGTACTGTTAGGAGTAACTGAATAACTTGGGATATTAGTTTATTTCGCATCAGAGGGAGTGTCAGGCACGGTTATAAACCGAATAATTTAAGTAATTTGTGGATTAGTGCGTACTGGAGACGCAAACCGTTTCAAACGATTCAGTTCGATTTGGTGAACTGGTTCGACCGGTTAAATAGAACGATTCATTCACGATCCGGACATCACTAGATGAGACAAAACCAATAAAACCCATTACAAACGAGGCATTTGTTGCATCCAGTGGGGACATAATTACGGATTATAATGACTTATTCTATCTTTTTACGCATTGCGTTGCATCGCGCCGCGTAAACATAAAACCATGTCTGCATTTGTGATCGGAGAAACAACAAACAACAAGCCCTACTCTACACTGCTCAAAACTCGCGTTTGAATCATCATTGGCAAATTATTTAAATATAAAAAAACATACTTACAGGCTGTGAGTCAGAAGCGCCAGACTGTCCTTGCAAAGTTGTGTAAACGAACAGGCAAAACACATAAAAAGTTCCCCATTTTTGTCTGAAAACGTTGTCGTGTAAACGGCCTCTTAAGTGTTACATTCTTTGATCCTTTCTCCACAGGAAGCAGTTTAGAATTTCGGCCATAAGAGTTTCTGATGTAAGAGTTTATTCATTGATTGTCATTATGTTTTAAACTATTCTGTTCTTATAATAAAATTAGCCTTTGGCGCTGGAATGGCATAAAAATAAAAAGCAAAAGTTTTTGACATTTCAAACATTTTCAAACATATATGTATGTGTGTGTGTTTACTGTATACAGTATATGTATATATAAAATATACACACACATATACACATACCCTCATGTTGTTTCATAGCTGTATGACCTATATGTTTTGAAGAATGCTGGTAAACAAAAAATTGGTTACCATTTATCTTTCATAGAGGAAAAAAAAAGGTCAAACAGGTTTGGAATTTCATGGAAGTGTTAACAGAATTTTCAATTTTGGGTGAACTATTAATTTTTCATTTGAACTTGTTATGCTGTTAATATCATTTAATTAAACTTCTTGTATTAAATTAGAAAAATGCAAACTAGAAACATCTTAATTAATTTTGGCCCCACTGTATATTTTGTTCATTAAAAACTTCCACATATCAAAGAAGAGATTACTAATACAACAGCTCGTATATGCTGTACATGAAGACTTTGAAGCATTTGAAATGAGTAAATAGATTGGCTGAAGCAGGTTAGTCATCTGGAGGCAGTCTAGTACTAATATCTAAATTAGACCCCAGTACACTTTTACAAGCATTGCAAGATAAACCAAAGCTTTTGCTCCTCTCGCCTTTATCTTTCCATGGAGTGTAATCCTCTGTTGCCATGATTGATAGCTGTCAGTTTTCACCCCCTCCTATTCCATATGCATGAGAGTTTGATAGAGGCAGTGTTTTAAACTCAGCTCGTCCCCCTGCTGTGTTCTGTGCTGGATTGTAGGAATGATGGGGGGGTTAGAGGTGGGGATCTTTTGCATTTGATTTGCAGCTTCCAAAGAGCATCTAAATGAAGATGTTTAAACCAGAGCAGTGGGGGATAATCTGGACTCTGTATGGGGGAACAAATTGACATTAGAAGTCCATATACTGACCCCAGGATTGATGTGTTGAAATATTTCACAAACACATTCCTAATGCAGAATCTTTCTTTCAACTCGACTTTTATATTGTCTAATGTCATTTTCTGAAACATCATGAAAGATAAATTAATTTAATTAGTCATTTAGCGTTTACATTAAAGTGTTCCATTAAAAAGCAAACAGGACCCACAGGCTGTCTCACATCCTCTCTAGTTAACAGGGTCGGTGCTGACAGAAAAATAAGTTTATTAGGCTCCTGAAACAAATGGCGGGGAGCCGTCAAGTTTTGTGCTGCATTAAAAGGCTCAGACAGAATACTCATTAAACTCCGTGTCAGTGAAAACACATCTAGAGATTTGTCTGTGCAATTCGAAACCAAGTAGTGTTTATTTTAATTCATTTTATTTATTTTAAGAAATTGTTTTGGTAAACAAAAAGAATTTACAGTCCGTTAAAAATGTCCAGTTAAATAATCACTTCTTCAGTAAGATGATCCTTAAAGTTAGAGGTTGCTGTATTTGTCTGCTTCAGTCCTTTGGGCTCATTTTAGTGTCTTGCAAACTCCTCCACCTCTGTTTGCGTCACCCTCGTTAAATGTGAGGGAAAACGACTTTGTGTCTCCCTTTTTACACATGTGTGGAAAACATTAGCAGAGAAGCAGCAGTTGGCTAGCGAGTCTTCTCCAAGCCTCCCCTGTTGATGCAGTTGTCAGTATTAATGCTTTCCCATTGTGAGGTCTGTCACTCCATCAGCTCAGTGGCTTCACACCGTGTGTGACGACATCTTGGCCGCGCAGACAACTGACTGGCATTTACAACTGTGAAAAGAAGTGTTTAAAGGGGTCATATGATGCGATTTCAGTTTTTCCTTTCTCTTTGGAGTGTTACAAGCTCTTGGTGCATAAAGAAGATCTGTAAAGTTGCAAAGACTAAAGTCTCAAATCCATAGAGATATTCTTTATAAAAGTTAAGAGTCAGCCACGCCTACCTAAAACGGCTCGTTCTTACACGCCCCCACATATCTACGTCACGATGTGGGAAGATTTGCATAACGCCGCCCAAATGTTCACGCAAAGAAAGAAGGCGTAACTTTTATTCTCGCTGTAGTATTGTTACTGCCGCCATGTCGTGAAGGCGCTGTGTGTTTCGTTGTGAAAGCGAAACTACTTTGTTTGTTCTTCCAAAAGAGGACGATATCCACTTTGTCATGCCTAGAGCTGATCCGTGCTGGTCGCT